TCATGGGGGAAATGAACAATTCTGGGGTATTTTGAGACAAATTTGAATGACATTTTCTGGGTGAATGGAACCATTACTCTGCTGAAAAGTGGCTACTACTTGTACACAATACTAATGACACCCCATCAACCTCAGCTGTACCGTGTGTTTAGTGCTAGTTAACACATTTTAGCATGTTAGGTTAAGCTCAAAACATGACAAAATGAAAGTACTACATCACAGAGGTGCCAGCAAGGCTTTAGCTTCTTAGAGCTCTGCAGGGCAAATGCAAAAAAAGAGAAAAAAGTCATTAATAATGCTAGTCATGTTGTGTCAGCTGTATGCGAAGTTGCTGCTAACACAGGTGAACAAAATTCACTGGAAACATGGAAGAAGTTTCTGCTTCAACCATCTGCAATATGAGTCAAGTTTTATTTTTTCTTGATCATTTATTCAGAAATTCCTGCTATTATGCACCCGGACAGAATCCTGTGCCCTCAGCCTTCACTCCCCAGCAGCAGCTCTGAGGCTATATTTAATCACAGGGTGGGTCAGCTGTTATATTAACGGGTCAGGCTTGGATTTGATTTACGGATAATTGGTTCAGGTGCAGGTTCAGGTTTGCACAATGGACCCCTGCAGGAGATAGAAAAAGAAGAAAAAAATGACCTTGCTGTGTGAACTTGTTTTCAAATGTGTGATTTGTTTGCATCAAAAAGGATGGATCAGTGTGTGGTGTAAATGATTACATGGAAGCCACAACTACAACTACACATAACAAAAACAATATTTTGATGTAGAGCTTTGCTAAATAATGTTTATATGTGATGACACAGCTCCCTTTTTTTTATTTCTGGTCATTAGAAAAACAAAACAAAACACTAATTACAGTTCCATTCTAAACTAAACATGGATAAAACATTGATTTTGGAGATATTTCTATGTATGTGTGTGCTTCTGCTACTAAAAAAAAAAAAAAGCAATCCAAATGTTCCTGCATCTGTGTTTTCAATAAGCAGCCTGAGCGGGTTTTGATGCAAATGCAATTTCACATCAAAATGATACTGTGCCACCCAATCAGCACAAACACAGCTTCAACTGCGCCTCCCTGCCCAGCTCAGTGCAAACAAGTTTGTTTGAGGTCAGGAACTGACTAAACAAGTGCATAAGTGTAACAGACTTGCACCCATTGTGTACAAAAACAGTGTTTAGCCTATATCTGAAAACTGCCCTCTTAGTCTTATCTAAGGAGGGCAGAGGAACAAACAAAAAACTGCAACAGTAACATAAAAAGAGCCATTTGTTATAATGGATGCTGCATGAACAACTATCCTTGCTTCCTCTATCTAAAAAGTTTGTCCTATCCCAAAACAAACAGCATGCATTTCTCTCACGGTAATATCCTAAACCAACATTATAACCACGAGACCAAATATGAACTTCAAGTGGAGCAGAAATGTATTCAAAGGTTTTACTATGTACACCAGAACATTTCAATTAGATCCCTCTCTAAATGTCTGTGCATCCACCAACCAGAGCAAATCTGAGAGCCACTTTATGCTGCGGATATGCTTCTGCAGGCAAAGTCAATAACACAATACCCTGCGAAGAAAGAAATGATTTTCATTTTGTATGTTATTGATCTCTGCAAGTGTCTGCAGAAGTTCCACATATTCACACATTTCTGCAGCAAAAGAGCAACCTCAGAGCACGTAGATACAACGGATGTCTTTGTCTTTGCCAACAGAAATCACAATACTCCTGAGCTTTCATTTTCTCATCAGAGCTGCATTGTTATTCCCTCCAGTCTTCATGAATGAAAGAGGTCGCAGCTGATTGAATCAGTTGTGAAGACAGACAGACAAGGTCTCCTCAACACAATCACAATAATCATTTCAGTAAACATTTCTAATCCAGTCTGCACACTACCCCACACTTTGCTGAGTCTTTAAGAGAGCGGCGTAATGTGGCAAGAGGAGGGGGCTGACGCTGGAAAACAAGTTACCACGGATGCTTCGCAAATTTGTTTCCTCTCTACTTCAATGGCTCACTTATTACACTGAAATGGAGCAGGATTTCAGTGATGGAATATTGTGTTGGCACCCAAACAGAGTTCTTTTGTGCTTGTGTAGGGCTTCACAGACAGTAATAAGCTGTTGATTATGCTCCGACTGGCAGAATTTGGATGCTTCTTGAAGTTAGGAGCAGATATATTTATAATAAAGTGTACTTTTTCGAGCTGAGATCATAGGACAGCTTACAAAACAGGGACTAAATACCAATAATCCTCAATCAGCTTGTATATACTGAACACATGACTTTAAAATCAATTACCTATACAGCTTAAACACCTGTAATTCCATATGTTTGCTCATATATGCTGTACATATTGTGTTATAAATAACAATAAAGATGACCGGCACTTACTCAAGCACCGAATGAAGTGCTTGTGTCAGCAGCTCTCAAGTCTTCGACATGTTTGCGTTTCCACCTGTGTAAGAGTGCACGGCTACATGCATGTCACATCTGAGTCAGAGCACTCATAACACTGGTACAGAGAAAGAGAAGATGTGACCGGGACTCTGCCTGTGTGTTTGAGTGTGTTTAAAGAGCACCGTCCTATACGCTGTGACTCACAGAGTTCAGGCTGAGGTCAACTGTACATAACAGGCATGTAGAAAGCACTGCATGGTGTGTTTGTGTCCATTGACAGGTGTGACTCAGTGTGCCTGTGGGTGTCTGAGTTTCAGTGTGAAAGCACAAGTGCTTTTAAATAAATTCTCTTATTCAGGCAGTCAGCACATTTAAATCAGTCTCTCACAACCCATGCATGTTTCGTGCCTATGCTTTAATAGTGTGCAAATAACCATGTCTGTTAAGTTTGGGGACATGTAAGAAAGAGTAGATTAGTGTTCATGCATGTGAACAAACCGACGTAGGTCCATGCATGCTGCAAATAGTTTTGTATTTGCACATGTGTGTGTGTGTGTGCATAATATTTCTGATACTCACATCATTCCTATTTTCTCTGATGGTGTCGGACCATGCATGCTGAGACTGAGAAGTCTTCCACTCATCCTATTAACGTACAACGCAGGCTCAAAACACTCCTCTAGCCGTTGTGTGTGCACACACTCAATCATTGACATCAACAGACTAGGTGTACGCACACACGGTTTGGATGCACAAGGCTCAGTACTCACAGCATTCATGTCGATCCCGTTGGTGTAGGACCAGGCGTGCTGGAAATACTCCTCCAGCCTCTGCCGGAGCGGGTTGGGGATCTGGTGGAAGCGGATGAACTCTCTGACTCTCAGCATCTGGGTGTGGTAGCGGGCTGTCCCCGAGTAGAGCCTCTGGATGATGGCTGACACGTTCCCAAAGATACTGGCATACATCAGGGCTGGAGGTGGGAGGATTTTCAGCGTTAGTAGAAGGAGGAAACAAGAGAAGGAATGAACAAATGAAGGAACAAGTGAAAAGCGTCTACAAAACCAGCATAGACACACAAGGGCATTCATACATTGATATGACCTGACACATCTCTGAGAGACTGTTTTTTTTTATCTGAAAACACATATAGTTTGAACCTTGACACTGTTTGGTGTGAGTGGAGAAGTGTTGAAGGCAAGCAAAAGACCTAACGAAGACAAGAAGTGAGAAACAGGGAGCTCAGACAGCTGACGGAACAAGAATGGTGAATAACTGAGCTCCATTAGCATTCATTAGAGTTGTAGGAATGAATTGGTGACATTTGCACCTAAAGATGAAAACATTATAAGTGTCTTCACTCATGTTCCTTTCAGACATGCATTCCTTTTCTTTCATTTGAAAGTATCTGACTGTCAGCTTCATGTCCCTGTACTCTGGTTACTTCTTTGTAAAAGTTGTGACAACAATCTTAAGAGGTCAGTCTTAGTAACACTGTACCACTTTGAACATGGCACAAGTCTGGACTGCATGCAGTTGCATGAGCAAGTAAGTGATGCACCAGCTGTGTGAAGCAACTTGGGAGGGCTATTTCCAATTTCAGCACCATTTTTGGTGCAAAAACATCTCAGAGAGCAAAAGACACAGTTTGCTGCCATCATCAAAAACCTTTCTCATTCACCTCGCTCTACAATTTCATATTTACTACAAACTGAAATGTCCATAAAAATACAACTTCAGTGTAATAAAGAGTCTGTAACCTGTCAGATTAAGAAGACTCAGCAGTAATAAATGGAATCCAATTTTGAACAAGACATTGACAGGAACTGAAGCTCAGTTAAGCATTAATTGATGTGCCGTCCAGTCTGTCATAGCGTGCTCTCTCTGTCACTGGGGTGGGTATGACTGAATAAAGCTGTGAGAAACATTAACATCAAAGTGACCTACGTCTAAATGACAGAACACTGTCATTTCAACAGACAGATGAAGCAGCAATGTTACATATCCCATGTCTGAATGGGCTTAAGGGTTTAGAGTCTGCATAAGTAACCAAAGTTGACAGTGCAGTTGGAGTTATGCCTCCAAAACTGTGGAATGAACTACCTCTGAGAGTCTGCACTGCACTAAATTAGCTTTGGCTGAACTTTACAATACATTTTTTGGCAGAACAAGGGTGACAGATTTTGTCTGACATTTCTTAAATTGAAATTGGAAGAGATCTCCTAACAGCCAGTATAGGCAGGACCAATAACTCTTTTAAGATAGACTTTAAAAAGTGACATTGGCATTGGCATTGATATTATAGGATTTTATAGACAGCAAAAGTTTGAAAGTTAAACTTCAAGTTAAACAAAAAAGATAGCAACAGCAACCTGATTACACATTCATTCATACCTTCACTTGTTTTACACGACTTACATCACATGTTTGGATCAATCGTGGACTTCCAGTTTTATGTAAAACATCTAAATATGAGGAAAAAATTTTCTTGCATGACTCATGTGAACTGAATCAGCTAACACAAGACGTTTTGTACAAGGACAATCCTCTGGAGAAGAGGATACATCAGAGGTTTGATCTAAAAGGGTTTTGTCTGTAGAGGACAGAGTGTTTTGTGTTGCATCCTTCATGAGCCTCACTGTTTTGTCCTGTTGTCATGTTGGATCCTGCTAACCTCTCACCCTCTGTCAGCTCCCATCACTGTCCCCATCACCAAATGAAAACGCTGCGTGTGAATGTGTATTTGTATGTTAGCACATGAGTGTCACAAGGGACACGATAGATCTCTGACTCTGGCTGAATAAGTTTAATAGGGCTCATTGTGATTTCATAGAGCACTTCTATTTAAAGCAACAGATGATTGCGCATCAATAATGGTCATTTTACTACTCCTGGGTGATTTTCTGGTCAAGCAAATACCAAAGAGCCTGGAGGAGAAACACACACAAAAATAAAAACCAAAACAGAATTGGCCTTATTGAATAATGCAAGCTTTTGATTCGATGTTTGTTTTAGTGTAGCTATACAGAAATACACATGCTTTATGGTTGTGAAAAGTAACTTCATGAGGTCAAGATAAAATGACTGTCATCAGTTCCTGTGGTTAGCGGTGCCACTCCATTTCATTTAGTATACGTACTTTAAGGCCTAATATAGTAAATTATCAACAATAAACATCTCGTGGCAAGATTCTGATTACTGTTTAGACAAAAAACTGCTTTAAAATGTCATATCCATTAGTCATCCTATGGTTTGGCTGATTAGTGAAGCGTCGGGCTCTGCCTCCAGATGTAATTACTCTGCGGGGAGGAGGGGGGTTAAAAGCATGAGAAGGGATATTACAATCTGTGTTGATGTTTCTAATTAAGCCTCTCTCTCTGGTCACTGGTTTAACCCCTAAAAAGTCTTCTCTGTATATCAACGTTACATACAGTCATGACTCAATGACAGGACACTAAATGTAAAACCTTGTTTTATGTCGGATAGCAAGGCTATCGGATAGTCAAGACGGAGGACGAGATACAAGGAGGGAGGATGACTTGATGTTAATATTAATTGTTTATAGTTGTTAAATGACTAGTGTATTGTTAGAACACTACGCATCGCTGGATTTCACGTCTAATTAACCGGTGCGATTGTGCATGAGCCCGTCGGTTGACATCAAAGATAAATAGGTTCAGACAGCAGGCTGAAGTGATCCAAATCCAATTTTTGGGGGGGAGTGGCAGATTCGCTCCACCGTTACCATCCGTGTTACTTCCGTAAACACTGAGCTGCTCGCTGCGTGTGACATTGTTGTGTCCTCTTCTGCGCATGCGGGACACTTTAGTGTCGTATGAAGTTCACACAGCAGATCACATACAAGTTGCGTTTAATTGGAAATGTGAACGAACTCGCCAAAAAATCGGATTTCACAAAAAAATCGGAATTGAGCATTAAGTTCTGCAGTCTGAATGTAGACAATCTGTCGGATTGTTCAGTCAGATAATACGCCGTTATCATGATTTGTGACATAAAATGTCATGTCGGAGTCGGAATCCAAAACTGTCGATATGTTAAGGCTGTTTTTCATGGGTTCTGTTCGTTTTTCCTAAAAACCTGTCGGATAGCAAGGTTTTCAGATTGTTAAGGGTCCGCTCATCGAGTCACGACTGTATTTAGAAATAATAATCCTTTCCTGCCTTAAAACGACTCAGATGTAACTCTACACTGTAGAGGATAATATAATAATGATACACAAGTTTGTTGGATATGAAACCTTGGAAATCTGAATCACTGTTTTTGGGACTGTCATCAGTACACTACAGTTTCAAGGTAGAAATGCTCAGCCATGGTTTTGACTCATTATTTCGGTCATAATATACAGCACGCAAAAACTCCATATAGACAAGGGCTGAACGATGATCTAATATTGCTTCCACACGTTATGTTATTGTGGAATGTCCTGACTGAAGCTCAGTAATATCTTAAACGAAGTCTAGTCCCTCTCATCTCACCACAACTCACCTGTTTCCATTGTACAATAAGTGATCAAGAGCACCGATATCTCCTCTTGCCTTTACTGCAAGTGATGTTGGATGTGATCATATCTTTTTTAATAAGCCCTAAAAGCAGGACAAGAGTTTTATCCTCTTCAAACAACTGCAAATGACTCTCATTTTGTGGTTTTCCTGCCAAACCGGGGTGAATACACATTCATCTCTCTTTTAAGCCTCCAGTCCCATTATGAGCAGTGTCTCCAGTGGGTACTTTCAGGACACATTGCCAGAGTTTAGTGGTTTGTGCCGCAGACTGCATTTAATATACTGTCTGCCTTTCTTCCAGGTCTGAGGCCCAAGTAGTTACCTTTACCATCATATCAATACTTACATCCAATGAGCATGACACAAATGGAGAAGATCTTCTCAGAGTTGGTGTTGGGGGACACATTTCCAAAGCCCACACTGGTCAGACTGCTGAAGGTGAAGTACAGAGCGGTGACATACTTGTCTTTGATGGAAGGTCCTGAACCTGGAGTGGAAGTGTACAAAGAGGCATTATATACATCATAACAACAGTCCCTAATGCAATCAGTTCAACATCCATTAAGTTGGCACTTGATTTCATTTTAAATTCATAAGTGGCGCTGTATGGTTATCATTCTCTGGCAGGTTGACATTCTGTCTCTTAACTTTCACCGAACTTCACAATAGAGTCAAATCAAAAAGTACAAAGTGTGTCTGCTTGAGGAGAATTATGCCTTTTCTATTAAAGCTGCAGTACCAAGAAATCTGGAAAACAAACATCAAAAGCAAACAAACAAGAACATTAAAATTTTAAAATATGCAGCCCTCCTCCTGCAGCTCTGTCCTCTCCTCTGTTCTAAGCTCCTCCTATCACATGAGTCTGCAATTAAAATGTGCAAAGAAAGTTAAGCCAAAAGCCAACATTCATTTGTGGATTCTGCTGGGATTCAAACTCTGGTCTCCTGAGCTGAAGTCTTGTGTCTAACCTATTCCATCCCAACATTATGATCCCAGTACAGACTTCGTTGCTATCTCATCTGATCTGTGAAAAGCCCTGTGATTGGTTAACAATCTAGTTTCTTCTTTGCCTCTGTTTCTAAAGCCTGCAAACAGAGGCGAAGGTATGAAGTCTCGTTTCCTTTCTGATCACCTGAATTACAATATGCTGAAAAGTCAGTGAAATTTTTGCCCAATGATGCCAAAAAAATTCTGCCTAGCCACCCCTATTGTGGCTATAATGAAGCTAATCAGTGGTATTATGTCGGTGCTTCGTACCTGGAATAGAATCGTTGAAATGTTTTCCTAGCTGGTCCCCCAGGGTGTGGAGCCAGCCTATCGAACCGTTCCTCTCTACGCTACCGATTGCGTACCTGGAAAAAAAATAAAAGACAAATATGATCTGATTTTGCTATATTTCAATATTCATTTTAACAAACAAAACTCAAACTTATTTCCTTTACTTTGTGATCAGAACAGAACCAACTCAGAGTGAGACACATTGGACATGACAGACTTCTCATTTCTGGCAACCCTACAGTCTATATAACACTGGGTGTGCAGACAGAGACGGGTTATTTCGTATCATATTTCTGTCTGAATTTCATCTGATTCATCAGACAGTACCAGATGCAGGCCAGCCAGTGAGCGATGAGAGCGAAGGTGCACATGAGAAGGAAGAGGACAGCTGCGCCGTACTCCGAGTAGCGGTCCAACTTCCTGGCCACCCGCACCAACCGCAGCAGACGAGCAGTTTTCAGCAGACCAATCAGAGTGGTGGTCTGATGAGAGTGGGAGAGAAGGAGATAATGTTAAGCACGGCAGAAACAAAGTCTCTTGGCTCTGATATCTCCTCACAGTGCTCCCACCTGCTGTCGTCCTGTCACACACACACACACACACACACACACGCTCACATTTGCACATACAGGTGGTGCAGCAGTGGCCTTGTCCCGATGTGATTCACCGTTGAGGAGGTGGTAAATCCTGACTCCCATTCATTACCGTGGGCTGTCGACTCCCTCTCCTTTCTACTTGTATTCAGCTGGCCCCCTTCGTGTCCATACAACAAATAAATAACAAGCCGATTACTGCGTTGGCAGAGTGCCTGGTCCTGCTCTGCCAGTGTGTTTGTGCGAGTGTGTCCACACAGTAAATAATACTTGTCTATTGAGGAAAACCTCCACTTTCTTGGCTCAGTGGCCTCCTCCGGACAGCATCAATGAAGTGAACCTTTGGCAAACTCTCCCTGGCCAGTCTTTGAATGTTGTGTTTTTTTTTAGCTTGGTTGGTGGCATAATCAACATCGATGACATGCTCCCATTACTAATAGGTGCACTTCAGGCATCACTTACTCTGTCAATGGAATCACTTCTACCCAAGCTGTTGTGTGGAGTGACTCTATCAACCTGTGCCTCGGTGGTGTTCCTCCTCTATATGTGGGAAGTATCCTCGGCAGGCTCCAGCAGGCTACAGTGCAACTCACTCATTCCTTTCCTTCTGTCTTCCTCTAACTCCCACCTCTTTCTCCAGACACCCACCTCCCACTTTCTTAAAGTCTCAAACGAACACCTACGTTTCTTCACTCTTCAATCATTTGGCAAACCACAGATCCTCAGTAAGTCCCGCGTCTTCCACTATTGGACTGAAATATACTGATCTGTGCGGCTGCATGCTTCTCTCTGCATTAGAATCCAGACAGTTTTGTCATTACTGACTGACACACTGCAGATTGCATACATGAGAAGTGCTTTGCAGTTGTATGATGTCCTCTGCGGCTTTCTGAAGTTGAAATAAAATCTCCTACATAATGTGACCAGAACTTCAGCCTGACTTTTTGAACAGAGGAGTTTTCAGGGTCTGTAATAGCTATCTGTGAGAATATGCAAAATGTAGGATCTGGCATTTTTAAAGCTTGAGCAACACAAGAGACTTACAGAATCAGTCTCATGTTACTTCCCCAACCTAATGCAAGTTTAATGCTGAACTACTAGAATAATACCCCAAAGCTTGAGTCAGCAAAATGGGCAATGAAAAAAACATTTTATTCAGCATTCATATTCCAGTTTATATCTAAAAGCAAAGTTTTAATTTAATTAATGAATATTTACTTGGATTTAAATGAAGTTTTACTTTCTGAAAAATGCTCCCTTTGCCTACAATTACTACAAAACAATTATGAGCTGCTCCTGAAATCACTTTACATTTTATATTTAGAGCCCATGTATTAATTAACCAACCAAAGTATAATATTACAGAACCTTTTAAATAAATAAAATGCAATTCAAAGTACTAACTAAGGGATGACATGATGTAAATGAATAAACAGCAATGCAAGTAATAAAAACAACTAAATGATGAAATATTACATGATAAAGTAAAACAGCGAAATGCTATTAAAATAACCAAGAGTGGGATAAATAATAATCATCAGTAGTGAAAAGAAAATTAACTAAAATAATAAAAATGTGGAGAGAAAAAAAAGAGAAGAAAAAAGAAGTATAAACAATACATTTATCTAACAGTTTGAGTTTAGGTTAAAAATATCAATAGTTTCCTCTCATATTGTCTGGAAAGCTGTTCTGGCTGCTTGGAGCGTAATGGCTGAGAGCAGCAGCAGCAGCAGATGTTTCTGTTCTGCTCTGTGGAACAGCTAAAAGAAAAGAACCAGAGGATTCGAGAGGCCTTGATGGGTCATAGACCAATATCATTTCTGAGAGGCAGGACCTGTTGTGCCTTATAAAATGAAAATAGAACATCAAAATCTATGGGAGGACTAACAGGTAACCAGTGTAAACATTTTAATACCGGCAGAGTGTGTGCTCTCTGTTTGGTTTTATTCAGCCCTCATGCAGCAGGATTTTGAATAGAGAGTAGCTGATGTATTGTGTTCTCAAAGGAGAGCATTACAGCAGTCGAGGCTGTGAGTTATAAAAGCCAGCATTAGTCTCTCTGCTCACAGAGAAAAAAGCTTCACTATGGAGATGTTCTTCAAATGATAAAAAGCTGCTCTTGTGACACCCAACACAGGAGCCTTGGAATTAAAAGCCGAGATAAAAATCACTCCGAGATCTCATGCATCTTGGTTTATGTTGATGCCGGGTGTATTTATTACATTAGGGGCCAGTCTGAAAGTGACAACAGTCCTAAAATGCATCCTTTTGGTGCCCCAAAGTGAACCTCACAGTGTGGGAGGAACGGTCACCTGAGTTTCAAAATGGAACACAAACAGTCATGATAACAACTCCACAGCTTCATGTTCTAGAGCTACTTTGTGACTCTACATGCACCAGAAATTCAAAAGTGTCTGAAATGTCCATTTACTGCAAGCTAGTCAACTGTCTGGAAACGCTTTTTCTTTTCTATGAAACTTTCAAGGAAGTTATAAAGAAATAATGAATCTGGGGGAAAAAAATCGTCACTGGAAAATAGAGTAGAAGGTAAAGTCGTGTACTGCTGCCACACAGACACAGAAAAACCAGCCAGTGCAATGTTCTAATGTAAAACGTTAACTGCTACAACAATATGTTATTTATCTTGTAAAAACATGAAACATTTCATAGCGGTATAACAAGAAACTCATGTTGGAATGAGGAAGCAGTGTGTGTAGAACAGATGCTGCTGTTACGTTGGAGGATGTTGTGATTAGTATGCAAAAACAAGAAGGATATTAAAATGCACAGAGCTGTGCAGGACTAAGAATGAGCCTCATTTCTCATTGATCAGCTGGCGGGACACCGAAGGCTCCATGAAAACATGACTGATCAAAATACGATCCACTGGACTCATCATGTCTCAACCCAAGCATGAAGCACAACTTAAATCGTGTCAGTTTTATCCATTTTTCTGAACGCATCCATTCTTGGAACTAGTGCAATTTCATGTTGTACTGTGAAACATTTTATGTTATAACAATAAGTAAACAGAACAAACTTTTTACCTGTAACTTATCTTTTTTTTTTTCTGCAACATGCCAGAACTCTTACGCTCAAAGGTTCTAAACTTACAAGAACTTTAACCAGACAAAGCACCAACTCACTCACTCAGAGAAGCTGTTTGGCATTTTCCCTTCATAAAAGACATCAAAAAGTCATCAGTTATCACATTTTTTGGTTATTTTCTCCTATTACCTGCCTAATGAACTGCATCGTGTACGCTGCCTTGTGATATGTACGGTAGACACATTTTATTTTGATGCTCCACCACGGCTGACTACAAATCAGCTTCCCTACGGAGACAATTAAATTATGAAACAAAAACTAAACCACCTCTGCCTCTCTCTCTCTTTTTTTTTTTATTCCCCATCCCTCCACCTCCCAGTGCCCCTCCTCCTTTTCCTTTTTATCTTTCTGCTTGTTATCTCCACTTTATTCTATTAGATAAAAACACCAGCAGAGATGGCAGACACGATGTCAATGCAGCATTTGTCTCTTGTTCTTCTTATCCCTCCATCTCACTACCACTTGTCTTGCTCTCTCCGTCTCGCCCTCCCTCATGCCTTCTCTGCAGCAGATAAACAGCCAGCCCTCCCTCCCTCTCTCCACGGTGACATACCTCCTCTCCGTTGCGGTAGATGAGCAGGTCAAAGGGAATAGCAGCCACCATGTCGATGAGGAACCAGCCTTTGAAATAGTGGACGGCGATGCGCACCGGGTGGCTCACCACTTCATCGTTAGAGTTCACATATGTTGTCCTGAGAGAAAGAGTGCAGATCATATCAAACCTACTGGAACTCATAGTTGTTGTTTTAATATTTTTGACACAACCACTAAAACTACTTGGTACCATTTACTATTTCTTAATTTACAACCAGCACTAGATTTGGGAATTAAACTTGAAGCATTTTTTTATTTATTTACTATGACCAAATCTAACTACTGCTGCAGCTGTTTCTAGTACAACAAACACACCTGAAGTTTATGAGGATGTCGATAATGAACATGATGTCCACTATGAGGTCCACCACGTTGAGAGGAGAGCAGGAGTAGCCACACCTCTGCATGGCTACCTCTTCCTGAGAGCAGTATAGAAAGCACAGAGAGAGAACAGGGGTGGATAGGAGAGGGGAGTTATAATGTAATGCTCTAAAAATAGAACGCGTCTTTCAAACGGATTAGCATTAAGAGTTTTAGGAGACTTTGCATACGTATGTAGACAAAACACGAGGAAGTGACACAAAAACAGTGCATTCAGCAGGATCGGAGCGTGAGGAGAAGCTACACGGCTTCAGCACACGAATCAGGAGGAAACAACTGCCTGGCAGACGTTCCTTTACCTTTACACTGATCTATACTGATCTATATTACTCTTTTTATAGCTTTTTGCCAACAGACATTCCCTAACTAAAATCACATGCTCACATTAGGAACTGCACTTAGTTTTGATTGTTAGGGTAAAGAATAGGTCCAAGAATTTTCTCTGTTTTTTTTGCGCCTGTCACATTTTTATTGACTGTTGGCTCATATTTCACTGCAATATAAAGTCCTTCATTAACATGGAAACAGCACAACCACGGCTAGGATTAGTGATGTAATAATAATGTTATTTGTGCAGTTATATTGTCAGAAATATATTAAAACTAAACTAAAGTTGAATTCCTTGATTACTTCATTTACAAACCTGGAATTAACACGTACAATATTTTTCAAAATGCCCAAAAGTATGACTAACACTGTAAAAAAAATACATTCTACAGATATCATATACTTCCATTTTTTATTTGCTTACAAACTTCTCTTGTCTCTAAACACAGCTTGCAGTTCAGCCCAGTTTAGCTAAAAATTCTTAGATTTTTTTCCCTGAGGTACCCTACCAAAGGGATCAATAAACTTCTATCTAATCTAATCTGATCTGATCTAGGTCACAGTTGAGTCATTAATGGCTTTGATTTGTTTCAGGACTGTTGGAAAGTTGAACATTTCTGGCTCTGACAAATGGTGAATTATTTGATTGTTTGATTTTTTTGAAGATAACATGACTTCCAAAGCTGCTGCCAGGTTTTGGGGTTCAGATGGTTAAAGTACTAAACGATACTTCTTACATGTGCTTCATAATAACGGTGACAGGATGTGTTTCCTTTATCTGACCCTAAAGTCAGGTCTACAAATGATATGTTAGACATATGCAAAGCCCTTTGAGGTGATTTCGTGGTCTGTAAGTGGGCATTTTAAATAACTTGGCAGAAATTTGAATAACGATTCTGTCCTAAGACGTGATCCCACCTGGTCATTGAGGAGGAATGCGGCTGAGTAGGGCGTCAGGATGGCGGTGTAGATGACCAGCAGCAGAATGAGCCAGTCCCACACCGCCTTGAAGGGGCTGTAGTGCAACACCGTCCACTTGTGGATGCGAGGAGCCTGGAGCTTGTACTCTGGCAACACATCTGCACCCAGAGACAGCACCTGGGTAGAGAGAGGAGGACAGAGGAGCGATCAGATGCTGAATAACAGAACTAAGGGAGGAGAGGCAGACGAGGATGAAAGGCTGAGGAAGCAGGGAGGGAAAAAAAAGACTATAAAGAGACTATATCACCACAGGACTGTCTACATAAAACAAGCGTGTGATAGAATATGACAAACATGCAAACTATGCAAACACACAGTTTTGCATACACCCTGAGAACATATACAGGCTCAGTGAAATATACACAGACTTCAGCTAAATGTATAATGTGCCCTCAGTAGCTACAACAACGATGTTTTGCAATTACAGCAATAGAGGCAGTGTCCACTAAAGATGATGAGAACTGTTCTGAAGGCAGTGACCCTCTTAAGGTTACCCTCCCAGGCAGCATGTGTCCCACACACACATAAACCCACAGCAATGCATAGATATAAGCACAGGAACTCTTACAGTAATCGCACACACACACACACAGACACACACACCCTCCACAGCCGTGATTCCAGTCACATTTTTCTGTACCAGTGGCTCTGACACGAGTGCTTTGACTCCAAAGTGACAAGTGACAGGGAACCGCACATACGCATAAAATTCCAAACTACAAACACGCACACGCAGATCTTTCTTCTCCGTCTTCCCTCTCGCCACAAAAACACACACCAGGAATGAAATCTCGGGTATTATGGTGCAGTTCTAAGTAGCTTTGCTTGCAGTAATGTATTCGACCGTCTGCACTGCGCTCGCTCGCCCTGGATGAGAGCAGGAATGAATCAGTATAAAGACGCATTAGCACAGCCTGCCTTGTGTCTCTGCCTAATAGAATCACACAGTGAACTGCAGAAGCTCGGCTGACGTGCTGAAAGCAAGGGCAGAAACAACACAGAGCAAATGACAAATGCAGAAGTGAGTTTTGACTGACTTTCAGCGGTGTGCTGTCCTCACACAGACAGCAGGCCATGCGGGCCTATATACCAACCAACATTAGGAGGCTGAATACAGAAAAGCATTCCAGTGAAGGTGGCTTGCTCATGCCTTGTCACGGACACCTTACAACATGATGTAATCCAAGGCAACACCAACAACTACGGCCTAGAGGTGCATAATCACCTCTCTGTCTTATAAATAGGAACATTATGCGCTTTACAAAGATAAGATGCAATTTCCAGCGTAGTCAGAAAGTATAACACATCTGTCTTGTGTCACTGCTGCACTTAAACGCATCATAAAATCACAAGTGTGAGGACAAAGTGCTGACTTTGGTTAGATTTTGTCTACATCAACATCAGATGAACAGTGTGGGTTTTATACAGTAGCACTGATTATGCATAGCCCTCCTTATTGTGCATGTTTTTCCTCTGTACTTTTTTTTTTGCAGTGAAACAAAGGGCTCTTTCAGACAGTATGACAGCATCTGAACATTTGTGTCTGAATGAGAAACCTGGTAACTTTACCATGAGCCGTTACAGTGGTTTTACTCGGTCGGACATCATAACACTTCTCTGTCACTTTTTGCACTGTGCTGTCACAAAACAACTTTCTCGTTTTACATTTACTAAATGTCCATAAAATAAAACAAAAATAAAAACAAAGCCAGCGACAGGTCAGATTAGTGAGACTCGCTAAAAAGAAATTTAATCCATGTTTTGACAAAACATAAACAGGAGCAGAAGTTTAAATCGTTGCTTCCAGCTGTTTGTCTATTATTAAAGACCTGCAGCATCAGACAGCAGCAGGATCCATAGGAGCATCTCAAAAAATTTAAAAATAAAACAAACATGAAGAGAGAGAGGGTTGCACGCATCAGTGTGTGGAGCAACAGAAATAACTTCACTAATTATGCATATACAGGATCGATCAGGATTTAACAGCAAGTCACACTGTGGACGTTTCTTCAGTTCAGGCGGGTGAGATGCGAGTCAGTCTTGTGTCGCCGCATTGTGGCCGTCTTCAGGTTGAATCCTGAGCTGAATCAAGACTGTCAGGAGGTTTTTTTCTTCATCATTATGGTGGGTATGTGAAGCTGTGAAACATCAGCGTAAAAGAGACGCCATCACTTTATAAGTCAGATAAAATAGCAATGTCACTGACAGAAGTTTTCCGTATATTTTGTATTTGTAATGTAGTTTAGGTGGTTGACTTGGGAAATCTTCAGGAGAAAAGTCTTTGGTTGTTGTATCTCTATGCTAAGTGTCACTGCTTTAAAACACCTTATTTGTTTACTCATGCTTGTGAGTACAGAGCAAGTATTGTTTAGGTCTGTACATTCAGGTGCTGATATCATTGTCTACTGTTGGTATATACTACTTTCCATTTCACTTGCCCACTATTCTACAGAAGCATTGTGTGATTTTTTCCAATAGGTGCTCTTGGGTTGGAGCTCAACATTGCTGCAACAGGGAAAGCCTTCCACAAGAAACATTTGTATGCAGGTAGAGCTGAACTATGTTTGGCCAGGGAGGCAGTGACAAGTGCAGCAGACCGAGTGACTTCCAACACAACCTCCAGAGAGTGCGCAGGGTTTAACAATGGCACCAAACAGGAATCAGATCAAAACAAGTAAAACCAAACCTATAGTAGAACAGCAAAAAAGAAGCTTCTCTGAGTCAGAGTCCCGTATTCCCTGATGTCACCATTCTCACTTCACCTCATCTTACCTCGGTATTTTTTTCTGATTCACTCCATTTAGCTTTCATTACTCTTTCCTCCACCTTTTCTTGTTCCTGTTTCTTCCTGCTCTCTCCTTGACCTGTTAAATCTTTCTATTTTCTAATTTCATCTTTTTCTCCCCGCCGTGGCTCTGTCATCCATCCAGCAATCCTCGCTCCACCTCTCCACCTCCTTCTCTCTTCTTCCTCATAGCCAGCAGTCCAGTCACTTTTCATTCATCCTGTTACCTATTACCATTCATCCTGCCTCCAGTCTCACCTTCCTTTCTTCTCCAGCTTGAATGCTCAGGTTTTCATTCCTTTCCTCTCTCTTTTTTCCTCGTCATCCTCCCTTCTTTAAACTCTCGCTAGTCCTGCATGCGTTCATTGCGATTCTTTCTCCATTACACTATCACTTCTTTACTTTGTGGCCCCATTGCAGACTTAACTCATGAGATTATGACTAAACCATCCCTAAAACATCTGGCATGTGACGATCTGATCTCCCTGATTCTTTCTGTATTTCCTCAAGAGTTGCTTTGATATATAACAACATTTGGCAACATAAAATGTGCTTGATTTATTAAAAATGAGCGAGAAATATTTCAGTGTTCATCCTCTCTGTAACTGAGCCAGCTGTTTCATATCAAAGCCAGCTCTTCAGAGTCATGGCTCTTTGAAATGTTTTATTTCCAGTTACCTATGCATTTCTTTGTGCAAGCTGCTCTTAGATAAAATTACTCTTGTCCTCGTATGCTGCTCGTAGAGATACGTTTCTTGGCAATTATCAAACTTTATTTATCAGTTAATTTGAGTGTATTCTTGGTTCTCTTTATATGAACTGCCTTCATCAGCCAGCAGAGCACATGGACATACAGGACATGTAAGAACTGTACACCAACAGGCCGACGGAGTAGCAGCAGCCCATACAAACCAAACCACTGTGTCCCTGCACTATGACGGAGGAGTTACAATTTAGATTGTCCTTTCACTTCAGTTTAGTACAGGGGTGGGCAATCCTGGTCCTTGAGGGCGACAGACACACACCTGATTCAAATGATCAGCTCATCCTCAAGCTCTGCAGAAGCCTGATAACAATCCTGATCATTTGAATCAGGTGTGTTGGAAGAGGGACACATCTAAAACATGCAGGACTGTGGCCCTCGAGGACCAGGATTGCCCACCCCTGGTCTAGTACCTCACCCTGACTGCCTAGCTGACCTGACTCTGGCCCTCCAACACAACAGGGAACTGGATAAAACATAACAGCTGCTAGTTTGGGTTTATAGTGCATTGGAGCCCTGTTTAACAAAAAAAAAGAAAAGAAAAAGAAAACATTTAATTACAACTAAACTGCATTCTCCATTACGCCTTGAGTTAAACATGCTTTTTCTTAAACCACATGTGTCTGTGCAGAGGCTAACACATGGGCTGGAGGCTCTCTGTGTGCAGTTTGCATGATCTCCCTGTAGTCTGTGTGGGTTTATTTCCTGGGTGCTCTGGCTTCCTCCCACAGTCCAAAGAAATGCATTAGAGGTTAATTGGTAATTTAAAACTGGCCCTGAGTGTGAGTGGCCATGCTTCTCTGTCTCCTTGTGTTAGCCTGGTGACAGAATACCGACCTCTCCAGGGTGTCCTTCGACCAATGTCAGCTGAGATAGGCTCCAGCCCCCAGAAACCCTCCGCAGGATGAAGCAGGTACGGCTAATGAATGGATGCTGTCGCTCCTTTTTAGCCAACTAATCATATATCACATCATCGGCCTTGAGAATAGAGCAAAAGCTTCAAACATGTTGCCAAAGGTATTTATTTTAAACCAAACTATGAGATTTTCCTCAACCTAGAACAAGTAGTTAAACCTCATCAAATGTCCAACATGTAGGTACTGTTGTGAAAGGGTCAATTTTAATAAAAGTAAACAGAGAGTTAAAATGAAACCTAAATCTAAAAATAACACCTCAGTCTCCTTGGTGAAAGTCTGCTGTTGGACTTACGTCACCACCACCCCTAACACTGACACTGTGGCTCTTGGAAATGTTTCCTACAGCATCATGCTCTTTCCTTATCAGGAGAAAATAGGTTTTAGTAAGGGAAAAATATCAAAATCTATACCAATATGTTTGTAAAGGTGTGTACTAACATGCCTTAAAATGTTTAACTCCTGTGGGAAACCTTAAAGAAAATCTGCTCAAGCTAGGGTACCAATAACTGATTGACAATAAAATCGATTTACAAACATATTGGTGAAGAAACTGTTTGGTCACGATTTAGTTGCCAGATTTGTGATACATCTCATAAAATGCCCTTACTATTTCTTATAAAACGCAACAGTTTGGCTGTGTAGGAACCTAATGTTTGGGACACAGGGCTGAATATATATTAGCTTAACAATAATCTGTGATTTACGATCAGGTTGAGTTTTCCAGGAGCTGTACAAATAAAACAGAAAAGCTTTTTTTTATTTATTTTTTTCAAGTTTTGTACCTCCACCCTCATGACATTGTCAGTAGTTTACCAAAAAAATGTGAACATCAGATTATAACACAAAGTTTGTTAGTCAGTGTAAAGTTCATCAGAGTTTCTTGGAGTGTTCATGTGTCAGTAAACTAAATATCTGAGGGGCTGATCAGCGTCCGCAGCTGTGGGAACCTTCCAGAAAACTGCAGGCAGGAGCCCCTGTCAGCTGCGTTCACCCCAAATCCATGTATCATATTTTTAGTGCAACAAATATAGTCTTGAGCAAAAGACGGGGAAAAAGGAGGTTATTAAGCACAGATGTATAAATGATAGCCGTCACATTGAGAGGCGTCATATAGCTTTATAGACTTGTCAGTGTGGCATTTCCCCTTCTGTGGGTCTATTTTGACAAAACTCTGTTGATTCAAACTCTGTGCTTTGTTTTCTAATCAGTTGACCACACAGGGACAGTTTCTATGTGCACATTTAAATGCTGTACACACCAGGTGGAAAAAGTCATAAATGCCCAAAGCTATCTTTTGCTTTTCTGGCCTTTTCTTTTCTGGTTTCAGGAATCAGTATTACACCTCCGTATCCACATCTGCAGGGTGACCGGGCGCAAACGCTGCTCGCAAATGAACACACACCCCTACAGATCAGTCAAGTGCCCCTCTCAGCTGTGTGTGTCCCCTCCTGGAGTATCTGGTGGGTTATTTTTAGCCATCTGTGTGAAACTAAAAAACATTGCCATGAGGACTGTTAAAAGTGCAGATGTCAAGACACATTTAAGTGCAGATAGGGCAAAGCTGTATTTGAGGACAGCACTGGAGGGAGAAGACGGAGGGCCACGGGGGAG